CATCTTGAGTGATCGTAAACGTACATTTTCGTTACATCTCCCTTTTACTAAAATAATGTAGATATAAAAAAATGGCAGATTAGAGGGATAATGTATTAAACTGTGCTGATGCAAACTATTTAAAAGGTGAGATGTCAAGCAGTGTGTCCAAACATAGCACACATCATCTAAAACAAAAACCCAAATCAAAAAACCATAACACTCTGAAGAAAACTACAAGAAAAGAGAAAGTATTTCCAACTATGAAATTACTTTCCAAATCCTCCTAACTTAGAATCTTGAACATAGCCAATGTTAAAGGAATGAATTCACTGAAAAAGCACACAACACACAATGTTCAGGAAAAATATTGGTTAGTGAGAGAACATCTATCTCAATATTTCAATATTTAATTTTGAATCTATATTTTAAAAAGTGTTAAAAGTTTTAAATAAAACCAGAGAAACAGGTTTAGATGCAAGCAACAACTACAAGCTAAATCATTGTTTAAACCAAGCTAAAAGGTTGGTGTAACACCAGTTTCTTGTACGTATTATAAAAAATATTGCTTTAACGGAACAAATTTTTACAACAGTGGTGATTTTTATAGCATGTGTATTTTGTAAACTAGCTTTGCAAACACTTCCTGAATAAGCCTGTGAGCTATTTTTGTACTTTTCTATATTTGACACTGGTGACATCTTGTGGTAGTTTTAGTCAAGGTAAATAGCACCTGCTCCTTTTGTCATCCTTACTCTGCAGATTTGCTTACTGCTGAGTGATGGAGTCCTGCAATTGATAAAAATGCAGTGTATGGCTTCATGGTGAGGAGATACTACATATTTTAATAAAATAAAACCAGCCTAAGTTAAGTGTCAAAACAACTCTCACTCCAGCCACAGAAAGGAGAAAACAAAATCAAACCAGTTATAATCATAATTAGTGTGTAGCAGAAAGTTAATGATTCCTTCTGGAATAGACTAAACTCTTACTGAAAAGGGCTGGTTAATAAAGCTATGGGACAGATGGGGAAGTGCATATGTAACTCTATATACAATGGGGACTGTAAGTGTCACAGTCCTAAGCCTCCCCTCTCGTATGTGTTCTGACTACAACAAAATGACATGGATATTTTGTCATGCCCAAAGCTATAGTGAAAATCCTCTATTAAATAAGAGCTACCAAGATTAGTACAGTACAAAGAAAAGAACTGGTGAATCCTGTAAAAATCTGACCCTTTTAGCTGCCCTTTTAAACCAAAATACTTTATTCTGGTCTCTAACAAGAAAGAGTCACTATAAAATAAGTAGTAGGCCAAATTTTCAAGTGAAATTATTTTGTGGCTGCCTCACATGGTCATAGTTTCCATATCCATAGGACATGGATAGTTTTGTCTGCACTTGCAGGAAATATGGTGGAGGTTTTTATGTTGTAATTTCCCCTGGCCCTCTGTAAGTTTTGTTTAAAGAGATGGGTATGTTACAGACCTAAGAGAGGAAACATTCAGGAAAGGTACAGCTCCCATGAATTCTAGCCAAGGATATTTGACCCTGTGAATTGCTTAAGACAAGGGCAAACAATGTGGTTTTAAGAAGGGTTTGTAAGAGTCCTACATACACGTTATACTTAGCAATGAACTATAATGCCTGCAACATGAAGTCTTGGATTCAGTTCGGTCCTGAAACTTTGATGAAGAGGACACTGGAAATTCCCCTTCCAAGGCACAGTCCAAGCACCCACGGCAGAACCAATGCAAGTGATCAGTTTTGGTGGAAATCAGTAGCTTGCACTGGTAACAAGTAGCATCACAACATTAAGTAAAGCATTGGTGCATCTAGGACTGAAACTCTATAACCTTACTAGTAAGAGGACTATGGTATCTAGAAAAAATATGATGAACAAGTACCTTACCCAGCTCTGGGAATAGCAGAAGGACTAAGATACACATTTACACAAAAGCCTTCATGATCACAAGAAAAAAAATGTTAGAAAAATCAGGGATTTAATGTCTTAGAGTTTGTGTGTAGAATACTAAATGCCCAAACAACCCATGTTTTGAACAGCCTGGTCTAGGTCTGATAGCAGAAATAAATTACCAAGTAAGGTCTCAGAGATACATATCTAAAATTGTTTGAAAGTAATGGCAAAAACATCTGATAATCATTGTTAATTGCCTAATTCTGCTCTGTCATATAACATTATAAATTGGCTAAAAAGCTTTATCCTGGTTACTAGTAGTATTTCACCACTTTAAAGACATTTTCAGCAGGAGTGTTATGCAATTTATCACCATGTAAGATCTAAGTTGAGAAAGAATTGAAAGTTGTATGTAATTTATTTTATTGAGCTATACAAATGATAGGCCATATGAAACACAGAATTCCAAAATGCCTGAGTTTGGAAGGCACCTCTGGAGGTCCTGTGGTCTAACCCCCTGGTGCAGCAGAGCCATTTGGAGCTGGTTTGCCCATGACTGTGTCCAAATGGCTTTTGCAGATCTCCAATGGGGAAGACTCGACAAACTCTCTGGGCACCCTGTGCCAGTGCCCAGTCATCCTCACAGAAAAAAAGGGTTTCCTGTTGCTTAGAAAGTACCTCTTGTGTTTCAGTCTATGCCCATAGACAATTTCCTCCATTTTGTCTCTGCTCCTGTCACTGAACACCACTGAGGAGAGCATGGCTCTCTTTGTTACACCCTCTCTTTGGGTATTTTTAGGTATGGATGAGTTCTTTTTTCTGGGCTGAACCCATGTCAGCTTTTTCTCACAGGAGACACTCTCTAGTCTCTTAAACATCTAGTAAAAATTATTGAGAATTGCCTCACAGTGGTATGGGCAAGTTAATTCAGCATTCGTGTGAATCCCAACAGGACTTCGGCATGTTCAGATGGCTTAAGCGTTCCCTGACCTGATCCTCTTCCACCAAGGAAGAATTCCCTATGCATTTTCCTTTCTGCACATTTTTCACATGTCTCTGGGTTTTCTGAAAGATGGAATTGCCAGTAAAGACTGAGGCAAAGAAGGCATTCTGCACCACAGTGTTTTCTGGGTCATAGAATCATGGAACATGGAATAACTTGAGATGGAAGGGACCTTAAAGATCATCTAGTGCCAATGCTCCCTACTATGAGGAAGGACACTTTCCACTACATCACCTTGCTCAGATCCCCATCCAGTTTGGACATGGATATTTCCAGGACATCCACAACATCTCTGGGCAACCCATTCCAGTACCTCACCATCCTCAGAGTAAATAATATTTCCTGATATCTAATCCAAACCTACTCTCTTTCAGTTTGAAACCATTCCCCCTTGTCCTGTTTCTACATGATCTTGTACAAAGTCTCTCTCCAGGTTTCTTGTAGGCTCCCTTCAGGTACTGGAAGGCTGCAATTGGGTCCCCCAAAGCCTTCTTTTCTCCAGGCTGAACAAATCCAATTCTCTCAGACTTTCCTCACCTCAGGAGAGGTTCTCCAATACCTCCCATACTCTGGGCGTCCCTCCTCTAGACTAATTTCATTCTTATGCTGGGACCCCAGAGCTGATGCAGCACTGCAGGTGGGGTCTCAGCAGAGCAGAGGGGCAGTATCCCCTCCCTGGCCCTGCTGCCCACCCTGCTCTGGATGCAGTCCACGTGTGGCTTTCTGGGCTGTGAGTGCCCATGGCTGGGTCAGGTCCAGCCTCTCATCCCCCAGCACCCCAAGCCCTTCTCAGCAGGGCTGCTCTGACCTGTTCGTCCTCAGCCTTTTCTGATACCAGGGTTTGCCCAAGTTGCACATGGGGATAATGAAATTCCCATGGATGACTTTGCTTAGTTTTTCCAGGTCCCTCTGAATGGCATCCTATCATTCAGGTGTATCAAGTGTATCACTCAGCTCCGTGTCATTTGCAAATTTTCTGGCAGTGCACTCAATCCCTTTGTCTACGTCATAAATGAAAATATTGAATAAAACTGGTCCCAGTATAGATCCCTGAGGGACACCACTGGTCTCTGAGGTCTATCAGGACTCTGAGCTATTGCCCACAACCCTCTGGGTGCACCACCCCACTAATTTGTTATCTGCCTAACAGTCCTCCCATGAAGTCCCTCTCTCTCTAGTTTAAGGGAGAAGGATGTTGTGGGGCCCTGTGTCAAAGGCTTTACAGAAGCCCAGGTAAATGACACCTGTCACTCTTCCCCTGTCACCCCACCACAGAAGGCCACTGGGTTGGTCTGGCAGGACCTGCCCTTGGTGCAGCCATGCTGTCTTTCCTGAACCACCTCCCTGTCCTATGTGTGCCTTAGCACAGCTTTTGGGAGGGCCTGTTCCATGATCTTCCCAGGCACAGTGGGAAGGCTGACAGATTGGTAGTTCCCAAGGTCCTCCTCTCTACTCTTTTAAAAGATGAGTACATGTATTCTTTTTCCAGTCATCTGGGACTTCACATGATTGCCATCACTTTTCAAATATCACCAAATCAAATATCACCCACATATGAGAGTGGCTTGGCAAGTACATCAGTCAATTCCCTTAGGACTCGGGGATGCCTCTCATCTGGTCCCTTAGTCTTCTGTACCTACATGCAGGTTCTTTTCCTTTTACCAGCAGGACTGAGAACACCATCTGGGCCCAAGAGCCCAGTTTTCCCTATCAGTATTATTTCCTTTTCCATGGAACATCAGCAGCAGTATTTGTCAGAGAGGCAGACACGCTTCTGCAGTCCCTACATATTATCCTGGACAGAGGACCCTGACAGGCAGTAAATCTATCCAACTGGTATGTCAGGTCAACAGATGGTTTATTCTGTCCCCTGCAGCAAGGAGACTTGCACTGTAATTAATTACTGTTTCCTCACGGTGCTATTGCTGTTTTAGGGTCAGATGGGCCAGATATTTGCTTGAAGGTGCATGAAGCTTCTACTCAGCTTTGAGGATAATGAAGCTATTGTGTAGCTGCAAGCCTTTAGGTGAGAAAAGAGCCTTCCCCGTTGTGCTGTAAGTTACCTGCTTCCACCTCTTCACTCTCCAGAGGTTGCACTTACCTTCATATTAGGGGTGAATATTGCCAGCTTCTCAACTGCAGGTGGGGTTGGTGGCTCTTCAAGCTATTGAGCCTCAGAGAATGTCCTATCTCTCTTTCTTCTTCCCTTATGCTATGCGCCTGATCATTTCCTCTAGTAACTCCTCACACTGACGGCAAAGATCCTCCAAGAATTCACAGCTCCTACAACAAATTAAAATGAAACAACAGATTTTTAATGGAAGCATGATAAATGTCAAAGTAGCTGCTGAACTACAAATGTCTTCAGGCTGAACATCTGCTGTTATCAAAGAACTGTTTCATTTGCCAGAAATATCTTTCTCCCATTAGATATCTCCAACTTCTGCCACTGCTTGTTATCACTATTTGTCTGTACAGGGATCCTCCTTCACACCACATCTAAGGTGTAGCTCAGTTTCTGTGTAAAGGTAACTTATGATCACCTCTAACACAAAGACAGCCTAGCCTTACCTCCATTAGCCAGCGAACAGCTTACATAAAAAATTGAAACTAAGAAACAAACAAACAGAAAAACACCTACAACAAACCAATGTAATGCAAGTTACAGAAAGTTTTTATATTAAGTGTTTGACAAGTTACAAAGGTTTTCATACATATTTGGTGAAAATGACCATTAAGTGCATGTTTGTCCCTGGGAATGGTGATGCTCAAGAGAAGTTCTCAGCATTTAGAGAAGGCTTTACTGCAGTCTCACAGGTAGCTTGAAGTAGCGGAGAAACACTTCCAGTGAAAACACTGAAACAACTGCTTTGAAACAACTACAGATACAATATAAATATGATCAGGGCATGGCTAGGGCAACAGGCTTCATGGCTAGGCTTCAGATACTTGCCAACTAGGGCTTTGGGTTTTCTCCAGGGTTGTAAGAAATTACTCGGAAGGGAGAATGTGAAACAAATGTGGAAAACTGGTGCAGGATCAGATGAATGGTTATTCCACAGAGGGAATAACCCACAAAGGGAATTTATACTGTATATCTGTAGTAAATAAGCAAAGCATTGCCCAGTGTCAGATACCAAAATCATTCTAAACTCTCTGTGAAGTGCTGTAATTTGAATTCCAAAGGAAGAAAATCTAGTGCCTTCATATTTTTGTGTATCAGCTCTGGTAGGTTAATATATAAGTGGATCAATTGTTGCATTAATGGGAACAATTATGCTCAGAGATCCAAATTATTTTCTCAAGAAACTCTTGACCTATTGCATAACTTCACCAATAGGAATACATTTTGCTTTCAAAAAAGTAAAAGGAGCAGCTCTGAGAGGATTGGCTTGTAAAAATGAATGGTGAAACAAATTATAGGAGTATTTGTGGAAATGACTGGATTTCTAAATTCTGCTTCTTGCATTGTTATATTAATGGAGTTTACAGATACTGAGATTATGGCCCTGGACAAATAAGCATTTCTCTCTGCACAGTTTTTTTCCCCAGTCATACTTCCAGCATAGTGAAAACACTTTATGCTGAAATTGGTGTTCACACATTTGAAGCTCCTAAAGTCTTTCATGCTGATCTAGTCATGCCATACAGGGCTGTAAGGCTCAGGCTGTGCCCACAGGGTGGAGGTTTCCTGGCTAGCACACTCCCCGGTGGCCGGAGGGCACCACGAGAGTGGCTGCCCCCAGATCCCTTCCGAGACCTCCTTGGGCAAGCTGTGGCATGGGTGACACAGCAACTGGGCCACACAAAGATCTGAGGTGAAGAAACAGAGAGGGACCACTTGTACGAGTTCCAGGGCAGATTATTACCAAGGAGGGGTCAGGCAGCAACTGAGAGTTTGCAACATCTTATAAAGAGGGGAAGGGCATGAGGGGTGGAAACATCCTTCGTCCAATGGGGAAGCAATAGGAGAGGAGAACATGTCGGGTTGTCCAATGAAGGCAACTCAGGGGAGGGAGCAGGTTTGACAGTCCAATGGCTTACTAAGGGACAACAGACAGGAAACATTCTAGAACAAAAGAGGTGTGCCCAATTTGACAGACAGGGGTAGGAGGCAGTGCAACGGGGATTGACAAGGGCATGTAAGGAGGCAGGGGAGGCACTGGGGAACCTGAAATGGGAATTGACAGCCACTTGGCGGGAAGATAGTGCTGTAAACAACTCAGGGCTAAACCACTAGGGGGACAAAACGGAGTACATGGAGCAAACCCTTATAAACTGACTAACAAAAGAACAATTATAAAACACCAAACCACCACATAGGGCATATGTGGTTATGTGTTGTAACAGGGCATGTTGTTTTATGGCACATTTTCCTACCTCTGTTTCATTCCTGTGACATCCTTGCCATCCAGAGCTTGGCAGTTCCTGAGTCACTTTTTTCAACCACAACCTGGCACACACTACTCTACTGTCTGTGAAGCCCAAACTAGCTTGTGAGAAAGTATAAGAAGGCATGGGCCTGTGTTTTATTCAGATATAAAGCCTTATTATTCAACTGACCTGGAGGTCTCCATGTAGGGTGAGCTACACCTGTGTGAAGAGTTTATTGTCCATTCAGCAGTGGTGTAGTTGGGTGCAGCACTTTCTGCTTCCAATGGGAGAGTAGACAGGAATGTGCTTCAGCTGGGACCTGGACCTCTCTTGTCCTACACTGGAGCTGTAGAGTAAAAAAAATGGCATGAAGCAACTGTGTTCTTGCAGCACAAACCATGCAAACAGACTTTGTCCAGTGAATGACATTGTAGGCTGCTGTTTTGATGGCTGTTTGGGAGGTTGGAGTTGTATGGATGATACAAGTCTTTGAGTTATGTCTATAATGCCTAACTTGCATGCTGGGCACAAAGGAAAACCTGGTAGGCTGTGAAATCCAGACTGCTGGATGCACTGTTCTGCTGATTGTGGAGGTATTGAGACGTGGCTTGAGTGAAAAACAGATACATGGCCTTCTCTAACAAGATTCAGGCACTAGTTTTCTGTGTGGTGCAGGAAACACTTCCTTCTGGTTCTATTCCTGCACCTGTTCCTGATTTGGCAAGAGGGTGACTCATTCAATGTGAATAACAATATATTTTGTGAAGCATGATGATATGATCTTATGAGATAATTGCTGATGCAAGAAAAAGCTGTTTAGCTTTTTCTGTTCACACTGATCTGCCAGGTGACTGCTTAAGTGCTGCTCATTGGTAGCATCAAGGCAAAGACTGCATTATTAACATTAGGGTTGCTGAGAGAGGTTGTAAATACATCTAGGCTCAATCAGGCTCTTCATCTGTAAATAGAGAACATTCTTTCAACACCTGTATTGCCATTAATTGAGGTGATCTCCACATAAAAAGTACTTAAATAGACCTATGAAATGTGTTTTTTTTCAGTCATGACATGATTTATTTTTCAAGATAAATATTGTTTGAAGCAAAAACAAGCTTGATGTAGATGTCTCAGTTCAATACCAGTTTCTCAGTTCGTTGTGTCTTGATGGTATCTTTATGGAAATTGATGCTTGCTCATGCTAATTTCAGTTGGAAGAACTATAAAACATTTTTCTCTTAGTCCTCTACAGTGTCAGAATTTGTACTGCTCTCTGAAGCTTTTGCAGTTTAAAATCATAAGACATATGGTATTTGCCAGTGGAATATTTTTGTTCTGAGAGTCTAGACTTAGGAGCTGAATAGTTACTGCTTTTTGTTAATTTGAGCTAAACAGAAGCAATGCTTTCTTGGCATGATCTTATGTGGGAGACAATTGAAAGAATCACAAGTGGCTCACCCCATCAGCACCTCTGGAGATCACTGTGTCCATCATCATGGTCAACAACAAGTTAATCATAGCCTTGGACAGGCAGACAGATTCTAAAACCTCCCTGTTCCAGTGTGTTTAACCACACTCATGGTAAATAACATTTTAATACTTCTAGTCTGAGTCTGTCATGCTCCTGCTTGTGTCTCTTTTTCTTTAATCTACTGATGTGCACTTCTGAATAGAATTTGTGTCTATCTTCCTTATATCCTCCCATGAGAATGTTAAAGGTAAGAGAAAGTGTAACTCCCTGATAAATAAAACTGGCAAACTGGTAACAAGAGATGAGAAAGCTCAGGTACTGGATAGCTTTCCCCCCAAGTCTTCACTGGCAATCTCTTCCCACAGCTGTGGAGTGGATGGGCAGCAAAGTCCTCCCACTGTAAGAGATCAGGTTCAAGACTACTTGACAAATCTGAAAAAATATAAGTCTATGGGACCTGATGAGATACATCCCAGAGTTCTGAGAGAATTGGCTGATGTAGTTGCCAGGCCACTCTATGTCATATTTAAAAAGTGATGGCAATCAGGGGAAGTCCCAGGTGAGTGGAAAAGAAAATATTGTCCCTATCTTTTAAAAGGATAGAAATGAGGACCCTGGGAAGTCCTCTGCTCTGTGCCTGAGAAGAGCATGGGACAGATCTACCTAGAGGAGGTGCTATGGTGCATGGAGGTGATTCAAGACAGCCATCACAATTTCACCAAGGGCAAGTCTTGCCTGACCAGCCAAGTGGCCTTCTGTGATGGAGGGACCAGTTCAGTGGGCAAGGAAGGGATAAAGATTACATTTATCTAGACTTCTGTAAAGCCTTGTAACAGTTCCTCACAACATCCTTCTCTCTAAATTGGAGAGAGGGATTTGATGAGTGGACAAGGCTGCATGGCTGCATCCAGAGAGCAGCAGGTCAAGGTCTGTCTGGAAATCAGTGATGAATGGTGTCCTTCGGGAATCTGTCTTGGGACTGATTCTGTTTAGTGTCTTCATCTGTGATACAGACAAAAGGATCAAGCACCGTCAGCAGGTTTGCAGATGACACCAAGCTGAGTGGTGCAGTTGACACACGTGAAGGACAGGATGCCATCAGAGAGACCTGGACAAGCTATGAAGTTGGTCCATGGAAATGTCATGAGTTTCAAAAAGACCAAATGCAAGGTGCTGGATCTGGGTTAGGGCAAGCTCTGGTATTAGCACAGGCTGGGGATGAACAGATCAGAGCAGCCTGAGGGCTTTTGGGTAACCTTATTTGCAGCCTTTCAATACTTAAGGGGGTTTATAAGGAAGATTAACAAAGACATTTTTTGGAGGGACTGAAATAGCAGGGCAAAAGGTAGAACTTTGAAAATAAAAGGGCAGATTCAGACTACACAATGAGAGGGTAGAACACTGGAACAGCTTGCCCAGAGAGCTTGTGGATGCCTCATCCCTGGGAAAACTCAAGGTCAGGTTGGATGGGGCTCTAAGCAATCTGATCTAGGTGAAAATATCTCTGCTTGTTGCAGGGGAGTTGGACAAGATGACCTGCAAAGGTTCCTTCCAATGCAAACCATTCTATCATTCTATGAAGTCAAAAAAGCAACAGATCTCGCATCCCTTTTTCTAGGTTGACAGAAGGCTGGGGGGCTAGCCCAATATATCCATCTCTTTCCCTATATTATTTGGAATCCAAAACTGGACACAGCAATTCATAGCCAAGGCTGATTCATTAACAGATAAAGGATAACTTCCCTGGATCTACTATCTCTGCCTTTGCCAGTAAACCAAGCATTTGGCTGGGTTTCTTTGCTGCAATACTACTTCCCAGGTAACAGAATAACAGAATAATTTAGATTGGAAAAGATATCCAAGACCATCAAGTCCAAGCACTGATCAAATATCACCATGTCCACTAAACCATAGCACAAAGTATCACATTTTTCTTTTTTTCTGAATGCTTCCAAGGATGGTGACTCCGCCACTCACTGAGCAGCCTGATCCAATGCTTAACCACTCTGTCAGTGTAAATATTTTTCTCAATATCCAACCCGAACCTTCCTTGGCACAATTCCTCTTGTCCTATTGCTAGCTGCCTGGAAGAAGAGACAGATCACCATTTTACCAAAACCTTTCAGGTTAAGTGTTCAAAGCAGGTCCCCCCTGAGCCTTTTTTCTCCAGGCTAAATAACCCCAGCTGCCTTAGCTGTTTTCTTGTGGATCTTGTGCTCTGGAAACTTCACAGCTCCATTACCTCCTGTGGACTTGCTCCAGCACCTCAATGTCCTTCTTATAGTGAATGGCACAGAACTGAACACATGATTTGAGATGTGGCCTCACCAGTGCTGAGTACAGGGGGCAATCCCTGCCCTGCTCTTGCTGGCCACGCTGTTGCTGGCACAGGCCAGGTGCCATTGGCCCTCTTGGCCCCCTGGGCACTGCTGGCTCATGCTCAGCTGCTGTCACCAGCACCCCCAGGGCCTTTTCCTGTGGGCAGCTCTGCAGCCACTCTGCCCCAGCCTGTGGCACTGCCTGGGGCTGCTGTGACCCAAGGGCAGGACCAGCCCTGGCCTTGTTGTACCTCACACCACTGGCCTTGGCCATGATCCAGCCTGTGCAGATCCCTCTGCAGAGCCTTCCTGCCCTCCAGCAGATCAGCACTCCCACCCAGCTTGGTGTCATCTGCAATCTCACTGAGGGTACACTCAATACTCTCATCCACATCACTGATGAAGATATTAAAAAGGACTAGCCCCAGTACTGAGCTCTGGGAGCACCACTGGTCACTGGTCACCAGCTGGATGTAGCTCCATGCACCACCAAGCTCTGGGCCCAGCCACACAGCCGGGTTTTTACCCTGTGAACTGCATGCCTGTCTGAGCCATGAGGAGAGAGAGCTGCTCCAGGAGAATAATGTGGGGAACAGCGTCAAAGGCTTTAGTAAAATTCAAGGTGAAATATCCACAGCCTTTTCCTCATTCTCTAAGGTTGTCATCTGGTCATAGAAGGGATCAGGTTGGTCAAGCAAGATGTACATTTCACAAACTCTTGCTGGCTTCCCCTGATCTCTTGGATTTCCTGCTCATTGGTGATTAGTCCTAAGGCCTGTATAGTCATGAAAACTAATAATTTACTGCAGGTTTCCTGGATAAGCAAGGAGTATTACTCTTGAACTAGTCAAAGGAATTTTGCTTAACAACACACATTGGAATTAATTTTGTCTCTTTGATTCAGAAACTTGGGCCGGGATAGGACGTGTGTGAACCTATAACTCAATGATTTCAACTTCTGCTTTTCCCCACTGATTTTTCCCTGGACAGATAGAAAATGTTGCTATCTTAAAAATGTTCAAGAGGCAAGAGATCAAAATGCTTCACAAACTGTCCCTGTCTTGCAGCACAGTTATTTAAGAAATAATCCCAACAGTCATGCTGAAGTGAACATTCTGTAGTTGATGGATGCATCTCCATGAGCCATTGTGGTTGCCAGGGGATCTCTGTATACTCTAGAACTTGAAGTATAGCAAAACCAGGTGGTTTTGCAGAAACTACTTTTCAGAAATTAATCACATTCACAAATGGCACTAAGCTGTCAAAGGCTGAAGGGACCAGTGGGGAGGTCACTGCCACACTGCTACAGCAGAACTCTCCGGCATTCTGTGTATTAGGGGCTGAAGGGCCAGTTTCTTCTTAATATGACTATGCAGAAAATCTAGACTGGGATTATGTTGAAGCTGCAGCAGTGTCCAATATAATTATGGCTTCTCAAAAAGCAAGTCTCGAACATGAAAGGACCCTGTCTCAGGTCTGTCCTACAGAGGTCACTGCAAACCCACTTCTGAGAGAACTGCAGTGCCAGTTTGCAGTATTATCACACTAACACTGAATGCA